AGGTAACATGATACCACCCCTGTTTGCAAGAATATCCATGGTCAAATTCCTGCCAAGAAAATAACTAGGTTTTCTTTATCCCAGAGGTGTCAAACTTGATTTCATTGAGGGCTACATCAGGGTTGTGTTTGACCTTGGGGAGCCGGGGGGGGGCATGACAGGGTGGACGTCGGCAGCTCAACGTCACTCTTGTTGGGGGTGCCTGTGGTGGCCTGAGCGCTCTAACAGTGAAAATGGGCTCCCGAGCTCCATTTTCGGCTGTAACAGCCTCCTGCAACCCTCTTCCAGTGAAAATGAAGCACCGTTTTCACTGGCAGAGCGGTCCTTTGCTGTTTCCAGGGTGGGCCTGTGGGCCAGCTCTAAGCACCCCACAGGCCAGATCTGGCCCGTGGCCCTTGAGTTTTACACCCCTGCTTTATCCCATCTGGTGAGATTCTATCTCCACTTGGCTCTCAACCTCCAAAACATAAAAAAATAAAAATAAGATGAAAGGACCAGCTGGTGAGCCACTCAAAGGAATGCTACGATAATGACTGGAGAAGAAGGCAAAGAAGTGTGGTTTTCCAGATTTTCTGCTGGGCTTCCATGGATACAGTTCATCAGTCTGGAACCCGCATTACGTATCTGATATTAACACAGTTGAGAAAGTCCAGAAATACTTCACAAGAAGAGTTATCCACTCCTCTACTCGTTGCAGAATACCTTATGCCACCAGACTTGAAATTCTAGACCTAGAAAACCTAGAACTACGCCGCCTTCGGTCCGATCTAAGTATAGTATATAAAATTATACATTGCAATGTCCTACCTGTCAATGAATACTTCAGCTTCAACCATAACAAGAGCACCCAATAGATACAAACTCAAGGTAAACCGCACCAAACTTGATTGCAGGCAATACGACTTCAGCAACAGAGTGGTCAGTGTCTGGAATACTCTACCTGTCTCTGTGGTTTCTTCCCCAAACCCAAAAACTTTAACCTTAGACTGTCTACTATTGACCTCATCCCTTTCCTAAGAGATCTGTAGGGGGCGTGCATAAGCTCACCAATGTGCCTACCATCCCTGTCCTATTGTTTCTTTTTTATTTTTCTTATATGTATCCATTTCATGTATTCATAACTATGTTTATACTTATACCTGTTATCTTATAATCGCTTGACTAAATAAATAAATAAATAAATAAATAAATAAATAAAATAGGTCTCTCACCCATGATCCTTGTGCATGACACACAAACACATTATACCCATATATTCACGCATTAAGTGTTTATACTGCTGATGACTTTAGTCTCCTAGTGGTCAACTATACAATATAAGCATAAACAATATCAATTAAAATGAATAAAAATAAGTTAAAATCATCATGTTTGTTTTTAAAATATTTTAAGGACTTTTTAAATGCCTACAAAGCATTTAAGATTTCATGACTAATTTTGAGTTTGCAATACATTTTTGTCAATTGGAAATATCACAAATCCTATTTCCAACTGAACTATTCCAAAAGCTAGGAAAAATACTGACCATATTTTAACGAAAACCCACCAAGGGGGAAACAGTTTGCAGCTATGGAGGAATAAATGAAAGAATAACTCAAACTTCTTCATTAACATTATTGTTCATCATTATTTAGACTGATGCATTAAAGAGGAATACACAGAGTGTGAAATGTTTTAGAAAGTCCCCCTACCACTCTTGTTGTGCTTTCCCTGTGTTCCAGTAATGCTGCCAAAAGACAGAATGACTCAGACTTTTGACTCATCTCCTCCCATCCGTGTTATCCTCAGAATCACTCACTGCTAGATGAGATCAGGAGAATCAGGAAGTGCATTTCTTTTGCTCGGCTGTGATCAGAATAGCTGAAGCCCCGTCTTGAAAGTTGTCCATTATGGAGCGTCAGACTAGAAATCATCCTCTGATCTACTTTGAAGACCAGGACTTATAGATTTATGCCAGGCAGAAGGAACTGAGTTGATCTCGGCTGTTCAATGGTGTCTGTGATAAGTCATGATGACAGCAAATGAACATACTATGTATTATGACACCATTGCCCAAAAGATTCAACTTAGGAAATGTCTATGGAGTTTCTCAGTCATTCAGGTCATGGTTATCCAAAGGTGCTTTTTCAGAGAGTCCAGTTGCCTATTGAAAAAGCACCTTTGGGATTCAACTTAGTACTTGCATCATGACAGCTACGGTTGACAGCTTCTCAACCAGATATCATGTCTTTTGTATCAGGAAATCACTTTATAGAAGTTCACAAAACTATTGCTGAAGCTGCAATATACAGTACAGTATATACCATATCTTTCGGAGCATAAGACACTCCAAAGTATAAGATACACCTAGCTTTGGGGGAGGAAAACAAGAAAAAAAAAATCTGCCTCTGCTTCCCAGCAATTTGCCTCCTTGAAGCAAACAGCAAACAGCCTGGTCAGCTTCAGCACAGCCTGATTAGCACAAGCAGCTGATTGTCAGTTGGATTGGCCTCCCAAGGACCAGCTGTTTCAGGCTGCAGGAATCCCCATCGCCTATTGCCACCTCTGTGCACCCCATTTTTGGTCTCTGCATCTCATTTTCAGCCTCCGCACACCCCATTTTTGGCCTCCACACGCCCCATTTTCGCCGTTCTGGGTAACAGGGATCAGAACGGGCAGAAAATGAGGTGCACAGAGGTCAAAAATGGGATGTGGAGGCTGAAAATGGGATGCACGGAGGTGGCAATAGGCAATGGCGATCCCTGCAGCCTGAAACAGCTGGTCGTCAGGAGGCCGATCCAACTGACAATCAGCAGCTTGTGCTGATCAGGCTGGGCTGAAGCTGACCAGGCTGTTTGCTGTTTACTGCAAGGAGGCAAATTGCTGGGAGGCGGAGGCCAACGGTTGGGCGGGGCTTCAGCAACATTCGCTGTATAAGATGCACAGAAGTGTACCTTATACTCTGAAAAATGTGTGTTTGTGTGTATGTATACACACACCAATTATAAGATCCCTTTCTCAGATTTAGCAGAGGACTAGGCATTAGATGGATTGTGTGGCACAATATTTCACTACCAAAGGTCATAATTCACTAAGATCAAAATTTTCACATCATGAATGGTTGTACATGTATGTATGTAGATGGTTTCTTAACCACAATTATTCTAATACACAATCATGGTGGAGAAATGTCTTTTGGATGCAAGATAGTTAATAGTTGGGTGCGGTCAGATGCTTGGCTTTCTGCTTTAAGGAACCAATTTATCTTTCCTTGGCTTAAAGCCAAGTCAGCTGTTATACATTGTTCTCATTGATTGAAAGGGTGATTCACCTTATATACTTCAGCATGGTCTTATGATTTTGTTTCTTATCAGTTTTTGTTTGTTATATGGTAGGGAGAATTTGTTATAATGGTCAGAAAAATAGTTATCCATTCTTGTTCTATTGGTGTCTTTAATTATTGTAATGGATCTGGCTTGGTCAAGGAAAATTGGTGACAGAGATGGTGTAGTATGGATGTTAGGCAAAATGTCATTCTCCTCTTTTTCTAACCTTCAAGACTTGTCATTTTTAATATTAATGCCATAAAAGAGGGTTAATCTTTTAAAAGCTCAGCTATGGTATCAGGAAGATGGTACTTAATAAAAATAAAATAATTATACCAGAGAAACGGAATGCTATGTTTCCCCAGTATAATAATTTGTTTTATTAATAACATTCATAGCTACCCATTAAATTATAAGTATATAAGTTACCCATATCTTAATATTAATAGATACCCATGTTAATTATATTAATAGCTACCCCTTAATATACACCGGGTAGTTTTTTTAAAAAAAGTTTTCCACCAGAATTCATAAAACTTCTTGAAACTATTTTTGCTGTTGTTGTTTTTAACAACACTTAGGGAAGCATTAAGCTGAATTTCTTTTCTATCATTTCTAAATCCTGCATCCTGTCTTGTCCTACTTTTCCTTAAATCGTTTTTTTGAAAAGCCTAGTTATCCATTCCCTCCCTAAAACCCAAAGCCCTTTAGATGCATGGAATGGAATATAATGCCTTTGATTTGTACTTGCCAACAACTCTTATAATAAATACCTCTGTGTGCATCCTTTTCATCGTGGCTGCATTCCAAAGTAACACCACCACCGCCTGTGAAATTACTCAGGCAGAATCCTTCCTTTATGCTTACTAGCTACTGCCTTGAATGAATCAAACATCAAATTACTTTTGAGACAGACATAAAATCTGAGGAAAAAAAGACAGAAGCCACATACATTCTTCATGAACCTATTCCATTATGATTTTATTTTGTTTGTTTACAGCATTTAAATCCATCAAAAGTTAAAGACAGCATAATAACCATATTAAAACTAAATACATTAAAACCAAAAACCTGGCACCAAGCTGACCTTCTAATGTTGCAGTCAGCACATCTTATTTGATTGTTTGGGGGGAAATAATTTTATTCCCTTTTCTAAAAGAATGATGCCTGGTAGACTGTTAGGAGTGTGTTGATGTAAGACAATATTATGAAGGAATGGGGTAAGAAAGAAGCCACATTTTGTCACTGGAAGCTCTCATTCACTTCTTCCCTTTTTGAAAAAAACCTTGGCAGGTTAAATGTGCCATTTTCTCATTTCAGGGGAAGAGCAACTAGTAGAAATGATACTTGACAGCTTTAAGACTTATGGACTTCAACTCCCAGATTTCTTCCTCCTGTCATGTTAGCTCAGGAATTCTAAGAGTTGAAGTCAGAGGTGGTATTCAGCAGGTTCTGACCAGTTCTGGAGAATTGGCAGTGTAAATTTTTAAGTAGTTCAGAGAATCGGCAACTATCACCTCTAACTGGACCCACCCACCACCTATTCTCTGCCGCCCAAGTCCCAGCTGATTGGCTGGGTCTTTTTTTGTTGCCTTGCACAGGAGAACAGAGCTGGAAAGCAGGTTAGTGGGGTGGGGAGGGAATGGAGATTTTACAGTATCCTTCCCCTGCCCCTCCTACCAAGCCACGCCCACAGAACCGGTAGTAAAAAATTTTGAATCCCACCACTGGTTGAAGTCCACAAGTCTTAAACTTGCCAAGTTTGAAGACCCTTGCTATAGCGTAACTGTTTCAATTGAAAAAACAGCATTTCTTTCCCTCAGTTGCAGTATCTTTGCTTTATATTATAAATGGATATTACATATCTGATGAAGAGAAAATTCAATTCGAATACTCAAAAGAACTTTATATAATATGGATATAGGATGTCTTGCACATCTGCTCAAAAATGTAATACTTTCCCCCAAATTTTCTTCTTTCACTTTCTTTTTTGGTGAAATACAAATAATAAAACCATGTACACACACTTTAATGCTATTTCAGCCAATCATTAAATTTGTAGACATAAGATTTTTTTTGTACAATTTATTGCTTCCTTTATTTTACAAAAACAGAATTAAATATATTAATAGTGATATTTAAAATATCTCATAAGAGATTACACTTCCTTCTAATACTCCCTTATATGTATTTAATAAATACTCCATATAAAATACATCTTTCTTTTATTTATGAAAGAGGTCCAAGCTGTAAAATTCTGAACATTATTGCCATTCTATTTTTAACAGTTATCTAATATGATAGTATTTTTAATAGGAGAGTATCAAAGAAAAAAAAACAAGATAGGCTTACAATATCTAGAGAGAATATTTGTAGCTCAGGGTTGACATGAGGAGTCATTACCCAACTAAGTAATATCATCAGTGATAGTAAGGAGTGGGCTTTGCTCATCATTTCCCCATGCCTCTGTGGCTGTCATGGTAATATTTAATATCGTCTCTCTGCACAAATGAGATATGGATGAGGTTGCAGCGTCATACCAAATTTTGGCTTAAGGTTTGGAACCAAAGCACTAGGAAAATGTAGATGGAATCTTTGAAGTAATGCTGTAAAAAATAAAAACATTTCCATTCTGGCCAGCTGCTCTCCTAAACAGTGTCTTCGTCCTAAAAGGGAGGGATGGGAAGGCAGAGAAAATATTTGTTTGTTTTTTTAAATCAAGAACTACATATGAAATAAAGCAAAACAAGGGCCCATTTAAAAAAAAAACTATCATTAATAATGAATCGATCTATACCAAATAAAGTATGTATTTACAGTTTGAATCTATGTATATTTATAGATTATATATTGAAAATAGGAGATCAACAAACTTGTTTTTGAGTAAATAATTATTGATTTTTAAATTATAACCACATTATATATTCCTTATTCTTATAAAACAGAATGAATTTTCATAGATATGCTTCTCAGCTACTAATTTTGGAAATGCTTTCCAAAGATGAAATTAAATCTTAATATTGAATTCATTTTATATCATATCTTACTTCAGCATTGATAATTCACTATGAAGATAATCCATTAGTGGCACAGCACTTTAAAAGTTGTACACAGGAATTTCAGCAGTCCTTCAGCAGACTGTGATAATTGGTAAGGAAATTGGTACATATTGCATCCTTGGAAAGAATGCACCATTTGTTCAATGTTTGTTCAATGTTTTTTCCCATAATAAATCCAGCTAATGTTTTATCAATCACATAAACATATAACATTAAGAAAGTAATTCAATTCCCATTGTAAATTGACAGTTTCATGTCATAAAAATTCTGGGAGGTTAAAATATAGTTCATTCAAAAAGAGGGTTTTTTTTTAATTGCTATGACTGAAAAACTGAAAAAATGATTACCATTTGTTATATATATTAACAAACAAACAAATCTTCCCCAGGAGATTAGTTTTACCTATACAAATTCATTCTTGATAAGAATACTGAATATTAATCTTTAAAATATTTGTATTTCCCTGCAGGTCACACACATACAAATACACAGAGAAGAAAAACTCAGGCGTTTATTTCCGAAGTGTTTATTCTTTTTCTCTTTGCTTTTAATGCTGTGCAAAGTTTAGTTTTCTTTTTAACTGTTTCTAACTCAGGAAGACTACACCTGCCAGAATACTCTACAAGATTTCATGTAACAAAACTAACCAAGGAGAAGTAATGAAAAAAAAAATCTGAGGAGGAAGTAAGATCTGAAATGATAGAAAAAGTCATTCTCCTTAGTTTACCTCTTTAATCTATCTGTGTCCAGTTCAATCCTGGAAACACACATTTCTCCCTTTTCACATAAAAAGCCCCGTAGAAGGTAAAAATTACACCTATTGATTGTTAAGTAGAAAGCTATGAAAAGAGGTTTCAGAGATATTTGTCACCGCTGTGGTGGGTGGGAGAGATCTAGGGGTTTTGAATTGTGGCTTTTCATTGCTGAACACCAAGAGTCATTATGTGTGAGTTGGGCAGATACATAAATTTGTTTAATAATAAATAAATAAATAAATATACTGAAATCTTCTGCACAAGTCTTAAACTGAGAGGAAAAGAGATATAAGAAACCAATAGGCAGCCAGTCATCTATGAGAAACCCCACAACTTTCACCATTGCATTGTGTACCAAGATCAAATAAAAAACAATGATAATACCATGAAATGTTTACCAGTGAAAATTTCATTGTTTTCTTGCATTGCAAAGGTAAAAATAAAATCCCACTCAAATCAAGCTTGACTCTTGGTGACTTCAAGTAGATGTTATTGCAATAATAAGTGGGATTTCCCCAACTTTCAAGCCCAACTTTCACTTCTGGAATATCCGTATGAACTTCCATCCGCTTCTACTAAGCAGATCCTAATTCATTTTTTCAGTTAGGCACTGTCACCACCTGTGAGCTATTATCCTGATTTCTCAGATTAATAATAAAAACTGCCCTTTTACACAAATTTATTAAAGCAGAATATTTAAAGCATTTTACTGTTACATATTATATCATATTCATTATGTATTTGCTCATCATTAAATTTATGGACACATTTTTTTATGCTTACCTAGTGAAAAGGGAATAAATGCTTCTTTCTTGACAAACTGTCCTGAACTGTCCAAAAATCTTTCAGGACAAAACATTTCAGGATTACTCCAGTATTTTTCATCAAAATGTACAGAATAGAGATTTGTGATTACAGTAGTGCCTTGAGGAATAGAATAACCACGAATAACTGTATCCTTAGAAGTTGCATGAAAAATACCTAATGGAACTATATTACAGAATCTTAAAATTTCATGTAGCACTGCCTCCGTATATGGCATTTTACACTTATCTTCTAGGCATGCTGTTTTGTTGGGACCAATGACTAAGTCAATTTCTTTATGCACATGACCTGTTAAAAGAAAAAGCTTTTAGACAGTATGTAAGCATCTACATTATATGTACCCCATAACATTTGTACTTACATATGAAATTTCAATGTAAGATTAACAAAGGATTTTTTTTAAAGATTGTCACTTGAACATTTGTGGACTTTACAGAACTGCATGGCTGTTGTTTCTCTTACTTTTAAAGCTTTTTCTCTCTAGTCAGGTATGTATATAAACTCTATGTAGATTATATAATCAACCCAGAAAATAATTATGCATTTGAGAAATAGCTGAAAATTCAGAAATGTTGAAAACTCCAGACTCATTTTGTGTTCTTGCATTAATAAAGTCTCTCTACGAACTCTGTCTTTCTGATCCCCAGCTCCTTGATACTTTTAACTAAAGATTTCATGGAGTATCCCCTGGAACCTTTGAGTACAAAGTATATGTTATATCATCAAGCTATGAGCTTTCTTCCAGTTCCTATATTAAAAAAATATTGCATGAGGGACTATAAGCTCATCCATATTTTATCTTGGGACTGAAACAATGTCCATTCTCATATTACTTCATTAAAAGTCATTCTGTTTAATACAGTAGTAACTACGTGATGTCAGACTGGTATACCTCTTTCTATCTCATTATTTTGATTTATTATTTATTAACAGAAGTTTCAACACAATGTTTTAAAACATGATTATTATTACTTTATAAATATATTAAATCATATATTTTATTATAAAAAACTTTAGAAGAAATCATTTCAAACCATTTTTCATATTGTAACATATATATCACAGGAATCCCTAGACAACATCTTGTCTACAAATATTATATAGTTTAGTAATATTAAAAACAAAATTCATCACACGGTTGCTATCCACAAATACTTTCCTCCACTAAGGTAATCAACTTTAAAGAGATCTTATGTTTTTAACCTTTTTTAGTCCTACAAGCAAAATTATCTGACAACATACCACCTGTGCTCTTATAACACTCACAGGTTTTCTTTAACATTTCAAATATTTCATAATCTCAAAATTTGGTTAAAATTTGATGCTTCCTGACAGATTTATTCTATAATCTGTAAAGGATTGTAATTCAATATTCCTTCTGTCATGTAATTCTGTATATCCTTCTTAGCATATCAAGAAAGAAATGCAAAGTTGCCTACATAGCCAATCTGGACCCATTTTGCACTTGTCAGAATTTGTTTTGCTATATGTCAAGGTAGCGGAGGAAGACACACACACACACACACACACACACACACATATAATATGTCAAGTTTAGTATACAAGGCCAATAATTTATGTCAAATAATATTAACTGCAATTTATTCCCCAAAATACCAGCAAGAACTGATTAATGGTGGCCAAAGAAGCCCAAACTTCTCATCAAAATAACCTCACCAGTTCAATAATTAGACATGTTACTGTTTTAATATATCCTCCAAATTTCAGAAATTTTAAGAGAAAAAAAAAAGAAACCCAAATTTTTAAACTGAAGGTGGGCTACAGTATGGTTATAAATTGTATTAAAAGATGTAGTAGAAAAATGATGTTCTTAGTTATCATTACATGCAAATTTTTCATCATATCAACTGCATTATTACTTACCTTGAATATTAGGATAAAGAGCCATGAACAAGACCGCCCACCTTAGAACATTTGTTGTAGTTTCTGTTCCAGCAATTATGAGTTCTCCAACCGAAAAGATCAAATTTTCCATTGAAAATACAGATTCGGGATCATTTTTATTCTTATCCATTTCATCTAAATATACATCTACAAAATGTCGCGGTGCTTGAGGCTTCCTGTTCTGTGAGAAGCGCTGAATAAGGTTGAGTAAAAAAGTATAGACTTCAGCAGCATTTCTAAAAAGTTGTTGATGTTTTCCAAAGGGTAAGTTACCAATCCATGGGAAAGCATTGTATAAAAATACTGAAGCGCTGGCAGCCAATTCAATATTTTCACTGAATATTTCCATCATATGCTGAAATTCAGTGTCTTCATAGGTAAATCGTTCTCCAAAAATAATTAAGTTAGTAATGTTTGAAACTGCGTTTGTTATCAAGTACTTTAGATCAAAAGCCTTGCCTTTGTAAGTATCAATGGCATCAAGAAAAATAATTGATTCTTCTGTTATTTTGCTTTCAAAGGACTTTTCACAATATCCAAAATTTCGAAAGCTAGTAACTGCTAATTTGCGATGCTCTGTCCAACCTCTGCCATATCTTGCATTCAGCAAACCTGAAACATGCAACATATTTATATATTTAACTCATAATTCATAAATATATGTTATAAATTTATTTTTTTATTATCATCTATTACCTTTATTTTTTCAGGTTCTTTTTGCCAAAAATAGCAAACTATTAACTATTGGGAACATAATTTCTATGTTTTGATTTGAAATCATTCTACTCAACAACTCAATTTTTTGTATCTATCTTTGTTTCTGGGGGGAAAATGGGCATCTTTAAGCAATTACTATAATAAATGTACCATAAAGTTGCAAAAAAAGAGAGGACATTTTCAATGAAGAAATCTCTTTCATTAAATAATTATCTTAAAATGACTTACTGTCTACAAAGTAGTCCCATTAAAAAAAAAATCAAAAAGGATTTTTGATCCTTTTGATCCTTTTGATCCAGGATCATATGGAAAAATGCATGCCCCTGAAATGATACTTCTAATCAATTAATACACAGGAGGACAATAGTATTAAAATCATGCATTACTATAATTCAATGCCAGCCAAATACATGGCATCTATTAAAAAGAGAAAAAGTAGATTCTACTTGAGGACTAAATTAGAGAAGGGTTTCTACACTGATGTTCTTATATAACCTTATAGCGAGGTACCACATATACTACGGTTTGCAGTTTTGGCCATAGTGTCAGAAACAGCTAGCCTGAAGAGTCTGTTTTGTTATTCATTTTCTGATAAGACTATGTATTTGCATGCCTTAACTTTGTTTCTTCATATGAATCCATAACCTACCCAATCTGCTAGTAACCCTTTTGGGCTAACCCAACTTATACAACTTTGTGAGTTGTATATGACTCTAATTTCCTGCCATTTGTCCTCAATATCTTTGTTCCTCTTTTTTCTTCATGATCATCAATTTGGTGCCTTTTGCCGTACTGTAAACTGTGGCTTTTTGTTTTTTTGTGGTTTGACTTCTGGTATCTTCATCCTTTTGGTTCTTTTGGCTTAGGAATCCATAAAACTTATTTGTTTATGCCCAATAGCCCAAAGGTTTAAGGTGTAAAGACCTCAGAAGGATTGAAAATGTGTGTTTAGGTTGAAAGATTGCTTACTTTCTAAGCACATCCTGGTTATTCTTGGGTGCCAAGTTTGACATTTTATCTTTCTAGTCTATCTTCACTCTCCACCTATCCACTGGGTTTTAACTTTTAGTTTTACAGTTTTATCAAAAGTGAGTTAGGTTTCATATTATCTAGCTAACTTTTCTTTTACTCAATATATCTTATGAAATTTGGGGGATCATATGTCAAAGAGAAGTGGGATGCAACACAAGAATGCACATGTTCCATGGATATGTATGCATTGTGAGGAAATCATATTTGAGAAAGACTGTTGTTTGGCATATGTGGACCTATTTGTGACTCAAATCAAGATTATTCTTCCCTGGCCTTGGGAACTCCAACTGCAGCAACCTCAACTTGCATTGCTTGTAAGCCTTTGGTCTAATTTGGTATCTCAGATCAAGGTGCCAACAAAATACGTATATTCAAGACTGTGGTTTTTTTTTCAGAATAAAAGAAAAGATTATAGACAGATTTCAAAACAATTCTGTTATGCAATAAACTTCTATTAAAAAAAAATCACTGATGACAACGGACATACCTCCCATTTTTGTCAGCTTCTTGAACAAAGGCAGAGAAGGCCTATCTGAAAAAACTTCACCTTGCTGAACAAGGCATTCTTTTACTGCATCATAGCCATTCAGTACAATAGTTGATATGCCTCCGAGATCAAGACTAAAGATCTTAAGAAATTAAAAAAAACTGCATATAAAAGATATTTTAATATTCTCATTTGTATTTTCCAAATTCCACAGATAATTTCTAGAAACACTAAATTATTCAGCCAATCGTCTCTTTCCCTAAGATTACTATCACCACAGAAAGACAAACACTACACACAGTGAGTGTCCTATCTGTTTTTATCTTCCAGTAAAAAGTTACTTTGACTTTTTCTCCCCCACACAACTCTGTATCCCAGCTCTCAACTGGTTGCTTAAAATGTTCATTCAAAGCATCAGCAGAGAAGAAAAGCTGTTTGATCCTTATTGCATACTTTAGCAAGTTTGAAAGAAAATAGGATTTTGTCTTAAAAAAATCTAGAGAATTCGGTAGCTGGCAGTTTTAACTTTATATTGGACAAATCTGTTTGGAGGACAATTTATTGAAACAGATGGTCAGTCTATGAGTGTGTTCTATTTTATTACTGAAATACAATACAAAACAAACCATAGTCTAGTAAGTCTCTCATGTTGAGTGCAGATAGTCCTCAACTTACAACAATTCAGTTAGTGACTGTCCAAAGTTACAATGGCACTGAAAAAAGTGATTTATTATGACAATTTTTCATATGACTGTTGCAGCATCCCCATGACTTACATTTAGATGCTTGACAACTGGTTCATATTTATGACCCTTGCAGTGTCCCAGGGTCATGTGATCAGCTATTGTGACTTTCTGACAAGCAAAATCAACGGGAAAGCCAGGCTCACTTAACAGCAGTGCTATTAAATTAACAACTGCAGTGGTTCACTTAACAAATGGGTCAAGAAAAGTCGTAAAATGGGGCAAAACTCAACCAATTTCTCACTTAGCAACATCAATTCTGGATTCAGTTGAGGTCATATGTCAAGGACTACCTGTATAACGAAGTACAAAGAAATTACATTCTGACATGTGTGTACCAGCAATTATAAAATGACATATTCAGAATTATGTCCTGGCTGAACGAGCAAGTTAATCATATATAGACTGTCCAGTGTTACTACTGAAATTCCCTCTTCCCCTCGGGACCCCCAGCTAAAAAGTCATAAAAATGCACCAAAAACCACTGACATAACAGCCTAAGCTTTTTTCTTCTTCACTTTAAGCTTGTCCTTGCAACAACTGTTTTCAGCTTCGTTGCCCTAAGAAACAAGACGCAATAATCCCGATAAAGTCCAGCAGCCCAATTTCGCCAAACATGCAAACCCAAACCGGGCATCCTCCAATTGGCTGCAAAACAACTCCCATCACCAGCAAAGTCAAAAAGATAAGCAGGAATGGGAGTTGTAGTCCAACCTATGCGGCGTGCAGCTGACCGGAGAAAGCTTGAAAGGCAGCGATACGAGAGGTGAACGGGCTGACGGTCTAACCCTTTTGATCCGCCGCGGTCCCTCCGAACCTACTTGCCCGTACAGCTGACTTTGCCTCTTCATGTAGACGTGAGGCTGCTCCGTGGCCAGGAAATGGATACTGCCGATGAGAGGGAGCCCCGCCGGACCGGGCGGAAAGCCAGCGGGTCTCTTCTGCTTCAGCAGCTGCCTCACTACCAGCACCAGGGAGAGGAAGAGGAGAGCCGCGCCGGTAACCAAACCCACCAGCATCCCCTCGGACCACATTCCTCCCACCCGACCTCTCCCAGGGCTGTGGCTAATTGTCAACACAAGAGTCCAACCTCCGAACGCCCTAGATGTCTTCTTGCTCCTTTTTAATAGGAGGCCGGAACTGCTTGTCAAGCCATGGCGAGCCGGATTGGTCGGTTCTTCTCACCCGGTGGCGCTGCTTTCCCGCTTCCACCTCGGCGTCCGGATTGCAAATTCTACCCGTGGAATTTCATCAAGCTGAGACATCTTAGCCACATGTTGCAATGGAGTGAAGGTCCCTCCAAGCCAATGCCAAAGCTACTCTCCCTCTGTCCCGCCCCTTTACTTTGGACAGGCTTTCCCAATAAACAAAGCGGCTTATGTAACAGTTACGGCGCCTCTGAGAACCTCTTGAAATAGGGTGGAGAACGCCCTAGATTAGAACATATGCAAGGAGAGGATGCATCTTTCTACCACTCGTTTTGAAATCTAGAGACTTCCCAACAGCTTCACTTCTTTGGGTTTTGGACGTCTCTGAAGTGTCCCGAAGAGCTTTAGGCAGCTAATAGTGTGGTCAGTTTATGGTGGTTGTGTGCTGTTTCCTGCCTAATTTAATCGTAGTTCTTGTTAATTCCATTTTCTTTTGTGAGTTCGAAGTGGATACAAATAACGAGGCTGCAGAAATAAATGTTTGCCCCTCTTCAAGAAACCGTTTTAAATCGCAACATGCATATTTTTTTAAAAAAAAAAATCTGTTTCTTCATCTTTCAAACTTCTTATTTGGTGACATGTTATCTGCACAGCCTTGAAATAGGCTACACTTTTCAAGTGGAACACTTGAAGTTCAGCCATAACACAGAATATGTTTCATTTATTCTGTGGGTAAGCACAGGAAATTCTTGTGTGAATGAAAGAAATATGCTATATTTTTTAATTGAAATGAGAACAGCTTAATGGCACCCAAATATATTTTATTTAAAATATTAATATTAACGACCGACAAGCTCACCCGGAAGCACTTTCTCAAGCGCTGTCAAAACAAGATGGTGGCGCCCACTTCTTTGCTGCCCGGTAAAAAATGATCCATGGACCGGTACCGGTCCGGGGCCCGGTGGTTGGGGACCACTGTTTTAGCGTATCCAATTCACACAAAAGAGGGGATTAAGGAACATAAACATTCTAAACTGTGAAAGTGCCCTGAGACAGGATCAAAGGCAACCTTGAAAAAAAAAGTACTGGCAAAGACCTAGAGGTCAGAGTTGAATCTGATGACAAGAAAGAGTTTGGCATTTATTGGTATTGAACTCAGAGAGAATTAATAGAAGGAAAGTGTCAGAAAATAATCAAAAAAACATCAGTCAAAAGGAAATGAAAAAAAGGGTAAAAGCAAAAGGAAGGGAAAAAAGCTAAAGAAAAAAATGATAGTTAAACATTCTGAAGCAAGTTTAGAAAAGTCTACAAACATGTTTATGGCAACAATAAGATGTGACCCTCTTTGAGTCACATAAACCAATTTGGGAAGCTGGTGCATTAATTAGGTGAAAAAAAATTGAGGTTGTAAATGTATGGAAAGAAAACAGGACCTAGGCACAAGTGACTGAGCTGTCAGGTGTCATGGCATTAGTCACCTTGGTAGACTACCTTGTGTGGTCCTTGAAGGAGGACTACACCTTTCCTGCCCTATTAGTTCTCTTGACAGCTTTTGAGACCATAGCATCTTGTTGGACTGCCTAAAGGGATGCAGATGACACTCGCACATGAAAACTTCAGTCAAGGCTGGAAATGCCATAGAAAGCTTGAACCGTGTCTGGGGGCTATCAGAATCTGAGGCTAAAATTGGTTAGGCTCAAGAAAAAATGGAAATGCATTTCAGTAAATATTGCTCATTTGAATTCCTCGGCTAAATTTCATAATAGGAAGGGAAGGAAAATACCCAATTTCATTTGAAACAAAAAAAGGAAGGAAAACGATGCTCTAAAATGATTCATTGCATGTTTGCTTCATTTACTATTACTGCTTCATAATGACATAATCATTACTAATTGAGGATTTTTAGCAACTTGAATCCTTGCTTACTGCTTTTTAGTTTTGATCTAAATAGAAAATATTAACTTTTTATTATTTATGGATTTATTCCAATGGCCCAACTTGTTGACAATCTTCAAGACCTGTTGGGATCAGACAGCATAAAAAAATTAATAAAGTGAATAAAAGCATATGCATATTTATTCAGACACTTTTTTCTGTTTACCATGATTGTTGCTGATATGAGGTTTAATTTTGTGGATGTTATTTATTTATTCATTTTCTCTTACAAGTTTTAATTATGATTTGTATAGCTACCCTGAGCACTGTTCCTGGTGGAAACACAATAGGACAATGTAATGAATAATGAGATGTAACAAAAACTGCAGGACAGCCATTGTTTTTTTAAAAAGCCTCTTCATAGCTATGTAAGTCACTGTTCCATATTGTGGTACACTATTTTGATTAAACATTGAAGAAATTTCATACACAACATGCACACTGATGAAGAACTCCTACTGAAGGGATTAAATCCAAAAGCAAAACTTTGAAGAGCGTTCATTTTCTGTTTGAGTGCTTCCATAACTACATTCAGGTAGTCCTCGACTTATAACGGTTCATTTAGTGACCATTCAAAGGTACGTCATTGAAAAAAAGTGACTTATGGCTGTTTTTCACACTTCAAACTGTTGCAGCAACCCCATAGTCACATGATCAAAATTCAGATGCTTAGCAACTGACTCCTATTTATGACGATTGCAGTGTCCTGGGGTCATGTGATCACCTTTTGCAACCTTCTGACAAGCAAAGTCAATGGGGAATCCAGATTCACTTAACAACCAGGTTATTAACTTAATAAATGCAATGATTCATTTCACAACTGCTGCAAGAAAAGTTGTAAAATGAGGCAAAACTCACTTAACAAATGTTTCATTTAGTAACATAAATTTTGGGCATAATTGTGGTCATAAAACTAGGGCTACCTGTACCAAAGTTGCATTTTTTTTGAAGTCTCTGTGTCCAAACTGCTAACTATAGTTATCTGTGAATATACTTCTAAAAGGACATGTGCAAGGTTGACCAATTGAGTTACAAGAAACCAGAGGTACTTAATATCCAGACTTCAAAGAAAAAAAAATCTAAATTAAAGAATATTTACATTTGTCCCAGCCATCTTGGCAAAAGTGCTTAATCTGTCCAGAGAAATACAGTATGAAACTCTCAAAAGTCACAGTGTCTCTTTTCTATTTAAATGATTAGATGTTGCTCCTACATCTTATCAATGAACTGAAATAATTCATTGCAGGGACCTTGCGGCTTTCTTTAGTTTGGCACAATTGCATCTTGATTTAATGAATGCTCCACGATTCCTTTCAGCATGAGGCTGCCTAATTATTATGAAATCTACCTGACTTTCTTTCCCTTTCCTGGCTCTCCTTTAATGATTTAATTATGAAGAGATATAAACTCTTTCCAGGACTTTAACCTTCCATGAAAGTTATCCCACCTTCTGGATTTACTGGAAATTCTTACTATCTGTCTATCTGTCTGTCTGTCTGTCTGTCTATCTGTCTGTCTATCTGTCTATCTATCTATCATCTATTTATTTTCTACCTTTATTATTTTTATAAATAACTCAAGGTGGCAAACATACTTAATACTCCTTTCTCATCCTATTTGCTCCACAACAACAACCATGTGAAGTGAATTGGACTGAGAGAGAGTGACTGGCCCGAAGTCATCCAGCCAGTTTTCATGCTTAAAGTGGGACTAGAACTCAGAGTTTCCTGGTTTCTAGACTGGAAACTTAGCCTTTAAACTGGTTCTCATATTAGATTATGTCACTTCACTTCAATAGTGAGATGGTCAACGTATAAATTTAATAAATAAATACTATATCACAATACACAATAAATAATAGTTTATACTATTAGATGATAGATATGGGTATAGGTATAGGTATAATGTACAGATATATTCAATATATTAGATGTGCTGCTAGACACTTTCTGTAAAAGAAAACAAAGAAAACAAAACAAAGTAGCATTGAGTAACTCCATTTGATGCCCAATCAAATGAACAATCAAAATTTGAAATTCTGTGGTATACCTGGACAGCTGCCATCTGACCAGATAAGCACTTCTCTTCTGGATATTGATAATATCACCGGGGAAAGTGCTGTGACAATGTAAAAGCTATTTCATTACTGATATATTACTATAGTGCTGGCTATAGGATTCCTTTTGTACACTGTGGTGAGTTTTGATCTAAGTTTCAGTAGCACTAGAAGTGTTTAGGAGAGGAATATGAGGTATGGTTTTAAAAGTTCCTTAAACTTTTTTTTTACCATGACTACCCTGAGTTTTCATAAATTCACTTGAGATAATATACCACCCAAAAATTGCCATCTCTCTACCTCTGACTATCTCTGTCTCTTCTCTTTCTTGCACACAGTATATCTGTCTATCTACCATATCTACCTACCTACCTACCTAACATCCATTTGTCATGTCATTCATCCACCCATTCACTCATCCACCTGCCCACCTATCCATCCATCCATCCATCCACTCTATTTGTCTGTCTATTCATCAAATGAATTCAGCTAGGGAACTCCCCCCACCCCAGGCTTTCGCAACTTCAAGAAACTCATTATTTCACCTATGAAAAATGTTAGCCTGCTGCTTTTCTTATTTGTGTCACAGATTTTAAAAGCACAACCACGTTGTCTTTCTAAAAATTGCCCAGGTGAAATTACCTGAATCTGCTTTACTGGCCCTCTCAAAACCATTAGTATTTTCTTGTTGACCGCATATTCCACGTTTTCCTCAGATACTCAGGGTGGCTTCCACGGGAGAAGCCCTTTGAGGGAAATTGGGCTGAGAGCAGCAGTACCTGGCCAACTACACCAGAGAGACTCCCAGTGATTTTCCCTGGATCTGTGACAACGGCTTTTTGTAAATACGTGTCGCCTCCAAATGTGGTGGTTTCGTGTTAACCATTTAAAGCCTTAGCTGTACTCAGTCCTA